TATATATATATATATATATATATATATATATAAAATAAAGTAGAACTCATAAAATAGATGCTAGATACATACAGAAAATGTATAAATAAATGAAATAAAAAGACAAATGATTCGCTAACTTAATTTCCATTGTGAAACTAAAATGTAATTGACAAAGAGATCAAATTGTTAACATAAAAATAACAAAGATTCAAGATTGTCAAATTTCTGCTTCATTCTAGCTAATTCATCATATATTGCTAAGTACCTAACCTAAGCTCAAGATCAACCTCTTCGATCGACCCCATGATCATCAGCGGCATAACAATCGTCTTTTGCCGCTTACAATTCATAACCTCTTCATCATCAAAACGATGATGATCATCATTCCCATTCCCAGGAGGAGGAGAATCCAAACGAAACCCTAAAAAGAAATTTGTTTCAACTGCAGCACCATGATCAGGACTTGGTAGCAACATCTGCACTTGATCATCACTGACACATGAAGTACTCTTAGTATCTGAATTGCTACAAAGTGTTCTTAAAGAAACCCTAGACGATGGTGAGGAGCTGAAACTAGGGTTTGCAGACCTGAAAAGATTCTGGTGCGGGCTAGGGTTATGTGGTGGGGTGGTAGAATTGAGAGATTGCTTAAGCCTAGCTCTTTCTCTCCTATGGATATTCATATGACCACCTAGCCCTTGAGCTGACCTGAATTCTCTTCTACAGAAGCTGCAAGAATAAGACCTTGGTGGCCACACGAAACCCCCAAGAGGCCCACGACCATCTTCTGCAAAAGCTTCTTCTTCCCATGACTCATCGAATGGATTCATCAGTTCGATATTCTTCCTTTTCACCCACATCAATTACTCATGTCACTACTGCTCCATTTGTTGGTTGCTGCTGCAAGTTTTCAAACTTCTTGAAAGTTGAAGAAAGAGATGTATAGAAGCTAGTCAATTAATTGATTATTACTTTATGTTGTAATATATAGATTATAGATATAGAGTTCTATCTATCTATCTATATATATATATATAGAGAGAGAGAGAGAGAGAGAGAGAGAGAGAGAGAGAGATGGAGAGATAGATTGAGACCTGCTGTGTTATATATTGAAATTGAATGCATGAAAGCTACTAGAGAATCTAAATAGGAAGAAAAAAGAGGTAAGATGAAAAGGTCATATTTTTCGGTGTATATATAAAAATGCACATGTGTCACACACTGTATATATATATATATATATATGTATGTATGTATGTATATCTCTAGATCCCCTCTGTAGAGATTTATGTAGAAAGAGAGGTTGAGGTGCGGTCTGATTTGGCTTTTTTGAATGTAGGGTACTTGATGGATTTAGCTGGGGTTGATAAAGAGTCGTCACTGCCTTCAAGCTTTCAACTCCACCCTTGGGTCCATTACTTCGTGCACTCACTCACACACACACACACACATATATATATTATATGATCAGCTCACGGACAATCATTATATTTCAAGATCCTGCACATATAGTTTGATGTGGAATTTGTGTAAGTAATTAATTAAATATCAAAACTTATTCAAGATAATTAAATAACCTAATCAATCGAATGTTTTTGAATCTGAATCATGTGCTTAAAAAAGGAGAGTAAATCTTGGAGGCCACTAAATTCTTCATCCCTAATTTGTGATTTTACCAGAGATCATGGGGAGTGTGGTGTTGTGAAAATTAGCATTTCCTTTATTGGTAATTAAGTGTATATTTTTTTAAACGATTGAATTGGTTGATAGTAACGACATAAACTCTAATGATCTTCACAGTGACGTTCCGAGTCTCGAGAGAGAATAACATATTAAGCTTGTCTGTCCATCTGATAGAAAAATGTCCCAGAAGCAAAAGGGTGAAAACCTCAACTGTGTTTTTGACCATGTTCATATACAATCACTTAAATTATGAAACCAAATATATATATATATATATATATATATATATATA